TGGGGGTATTATAAGTTTGATTGGGCCAAAAATTATGTAACACCACGAAATATTGATTTCCCACATAGGAAAGTATATATGGAACTTCCTAGCTCGCCGAGCTGAGTCGATCTAGCTATGTATGTCCGTCCGTCCGTCTGTCCGTCTGTCCGTCTGTCCATGTTAATTTGTAATCACTCTACAGGTCGCAATTATGGCCCGATCTTCACGAAATTTAGAATGGAGGTGGGGCTAGGGTCAGAATAGAACCCTATTTCTTTTGGAGATGATCGCCAAATGTTTAGGGGTTGAAATGGACCAAATACTGAAAAAATGTCGGATTTTGCAGTAGCTATACAGGTCGCAATTATAGACCAATCGACGCGGAATTTCGCATGTTGATAGAGTTTAGGGCGGGGAAGAAGCCTACCAATTTGGGTGGTCATCGAATAATATTTAGCGGGTAAAATAGGCCATATCGTTTTTGTTGAAAAAATTCAAAATTTTTCATAAAACCGCGAATATTTTAAATCCCGGCGAAATCACAAAGCCATGACAAGGTTACTTCTGATCTTTACATTCATGTTAACATCCAACAAATTGGATATATAGTAAAATATGTGCGATATATATGTCTATCAAAGAAGATATGCTTGAAAGATCTCTTATATGTCGAGAACGGCTGAACTGATTTCAACAGTTCTCATTAATTCAGAATGGCCTCTTGGCAGGAAAGAAAAAGCGTCTAAAAAAATCTCATAAAAATATCTCTCTAAAGATGAAAATATTGATTTTGTAAAATTTTCTCATATTTTTTTCAATTTTGTCATATTTTTGGCATATTTTCATTTTGAATTAAACATTTGGTAATATATCTACAGCTACCAAAACTAAGTAGTTAGAATATCAGGATATCATATACAGATCGCATTTATGGCCCGATCCTTACGAAATTTTGCATGGGGATAAGATGAGTGTCAGAATAGAAGCCTACTCTTTTTGGAGATGATCGCCATATATTTAGGGGTTGAAATGGACCAAAAAACTGCAAAATTGTCAGCAGGTCGTAATTATCGCCCGATCTTCACGCACATTTGAATGGGGGTTACCGCACATTGCAAAAGCCAAGCAGTTTCTAATGGTCATCCAAAAATATTCATATGTGTTAAATAGTTTGCCAACTTTTGTAGACAAAATACGAAAATGTCCATTACAGAGACTTTTTGGAGAATTCACAAATTTCACGAGAATTCTTCACGTTGAAGAATATAGTCAAATGTCTGTATCTCATATAGATGCGTTTCAGTCAAAAACCAATAATAAATGTTAATATTTTGCCACTTCTGAGAGATTATAGGTCTTTGGGAAATATTGGTTCCAGATCTAGGAAGACCATTTACGTGCAACATCTACCAATAAATTGGAAATGAGCAAATTAGTTTAAGTTGTTATTTTTCGAAAATTAGAGAACGAAACCTGATGGTTTTCTTTAATTTTTTGTCACAATATCTTGTGGAATTCTGTCGAGCATTTCGCCTATGTAAACTGTATGGTTTATTATAGTGTTGTAGGGTATTCAACGGTCGGCCCCGCTCGACTGTAGCCTTTGCTTACTTGTTTTATTTTAGATTTAATGCAGTCTAATTGAGACATGCTAAGGAGGAAATGGGAAATTATTATCACATTTTATTAGAGTTGTTATTATTATTATTATTATTATTATTATTATTATTATTATTATTATTATTATTATTATTATTATTATTATTATTATTATTATTTACCAAGATCGCTCCGGACCTAAGTGTTTTATAACAAGTCAAAAATGATCAGTCGGTTTTCGCCGACAGATGTATACCCTCAGCCAATGTTCGCGGGGGTACCAGAAAAAATTGGTCCGATATCTACGAAATTTATAGCAGATCTTGTATTGATGGAAATATTCAGATGTACCAGGTCTGAATGCAATCGGATATTAATTTCGCGTTTTATGAGCTTCATGGATATTCAAATTTTTAAGTCTTTGTGGGGGAGTTACGAGAAGGAGTGAAGTGATATATACCATCTTCACAGCCGATCTTGTGTTAGTAGGAATAATGGGATATGTGAAATATGAAGAGAATCGGATGCTATCGGTATCAGAAGGAATGGATCGATCTCTAACATCTTTATAACAGATTTTGTGTTGATGGATATATTGAGATGTACTAAGTCTGAATGGAATTGGTTGTTCTTTTTGCGTTTATGAGTTTCATGGATACTCCAAATTTTGACCTTTTGTGGGAACTACCAGAAGAAGTTGGCCGATACATTCCATTTTAACATCAGACCTTGTGCTAGTAAAAAAAATTAGGCTGTGTGAAATTTGAAGACAATCAGACTCTTACATCACATTTTATGAGAGTTAAAACTATTCGAAATTTCGACCTTTTTTTGGGGGAGGTAGTTGATGGAGTGGACCGATATTGTATATTTTCGCACCTGACCTAGCACTGAGGCCAATATTACGGTTTGCAAAGTTGGAGTAATATCGGATTATCGTTTCTCCTTCTGTGCAGTAAAATATATATTTTTTAAATTTCGATCTTTTGTCGGGAAGGTACCAAAAGGAGTGAACCAATATTGCCCATATCCATATTATAATGTACCAAGTTTGGATCAAATCAGATACTCCCTTCGAGAGTTATCGTGCACACCAGACAGACAGACGTACAGACATCGCTAGATCGATTGCAAATGTACTGAAACGGATTTTGTCGAAATAGACCTAGGTTCTAAAACCATTATTTCGATGAAGTACGTTTTGGCCGTATCAAATGATATATATCCTCTTAGGGTATAATTATATATTCGTTCGAATTTTTAGTACTCGAAATGCACAATTTTCTGAGTTTGACAAAAAAATTTAATCAGACTTCCAAAGTTTTAATTTTTTTCTTTATCGGAGTAATAGGAAAAATTACACCCAAAATTCTTCAAAATTATTAATTTTTGAAATTTTCCGAGAACGGAATTTTTAAAACCACTGCATATATTCGTCCAAAACAATTTCCCCGACTCCATACATAAAACCTTGAAACCAATACAAATTTTCAACCAAGACTAAAATTAGTACCTTTTGTACTTTTCCAACAATTATAGTACACATTTCAAGAACTACCTTCATATATCAAACACAGACACTAACAGTGACATATATATCAAATTTATGGATTTCAACCCTGTTCCTTCACCCAATATTAGATTTTTGATTTTTTTTCAATTATAATGCAAATTTCCAAACCACCTCCATATCTCAATTCCAGGTACCAAAAGAGACGTCAATATCGATTTTGAGAATTCCAAATTTATTCCTTCATCCAATACCAAATTTAGTACCATTTTGTACTTTTCGGAAAATTATAGGACGCATTTCCAAACCACCGCCAAGTCATCTATAATTTAAAATTCAAATTTCAGAATTTTATCTCTATATCTTCACCCAATACCAAATATAGTACAATTCAGTACTTTTAGTCAATTATAGTAAATGTTTTCGAAACCACCTCCATATGTCTGGCCATATATATGATCAGCGGTCCTAATACCAAATTCCAGATTTCAAGTCCTATCTGTTCACCCAATACCAAATTGTACCAAATACAGTACTATTTAGTACTTTTTGTGAACTTGTAGTACAAATTTCCCAAGCAACCTCTTTATCACAAACCTACCACTGACAGGGAAACCAAATTCAAAAGTTACAAAACAAATCGAAGTTGTACCAAATTTAGTACTTTCGGTGTACATAAGTACAGATTTCGAAAACTTCCTCCATATCCCAATCCTATACTCCGCCAGTAATGTTAATTTCTAATTTCAAGATTCCAGTTCGTCATAAAATTCAAATTGCACTAAAATTTAGTACCCTTATGTACTTTTCGTATACAAGAGTACAGGGTTGCCCATATTCGACGGACCCATGTTTTTTTTTTGGGCCCATTCCAATCGACGAGGCTTGTCCGCAGGCAACATTCTTTGCGTCAATTGAATTTTGTACGGGAACAAATGCAAATCAATGCGAATAATCCGTTGTAAAGTGGACCGAGCCATGCCCAACTGCTGAGAACGGCGTTCTTGGGATGTTCTTGGGGACCTCTCAACACTGGCTCGTACGGCAGCGATATTCTCGGCCGATCGCCTTAGTCGACTTTTATATGGCCTCTTCGGATTAGAAAGAGCCTTACTAGTCGAAAATTTTTCGTATAAACGCTTAATGATGGGTCCGTCGGCAACCCTGTACACACTTCCAAAACTTCCTCCTTACATCGACTCCAATCCTGAACCTTGATTTACATTCCATTTTTTTTAGCTCTAAGCATTCATTTTTCGTACACTTATATTTCGAATTTCCAAAAACCCTTTGGTACATCTGTCATTCACTCCATCAGCCACCCTCATTCCAAATTTAAGAGTTCTAGCTCTACTGATTCCTCAAATATAAAGGGTACCATATTTAGCAATTTTTAATACTTTTCGCCCATGTTCTGGTACGAATTTCCAAAAACCCAGTCTTATCTGACCCCTTCGGACCAAGAGGGACCCTCGCCCAAAATTGAAAGATTCTATCTTCACCCTATTCGTTAAGTCAGTCACTCAATCAGTCAATTCTTTTACTCTCAGACATACTTTCATCTTTTCTGACCCCTTCGGACCAAGAGGGACCCTCGCCCAAAATTGAAAGATGCTATCTTCACCCTATTCGTCTAGGCTTTGATGAATCGTTAAGTCAATCACTCAATCAGTCATTCAGTCAATTCCTTTACTCTCAGCCATACCTTCATTTCGTACGTTTATCTGTCTATTCCGGCATCTGTACTCCTAGCGTACCCTAGCGTGTTAATATTTAGAATTCTTCCGGCGTTTTACAACAACAACATTATCACTTGTGATTACAGCAAACACACATCCAAAAAAAAAAAAAAAAAAAAAACAATCATTTCACTCTGCCTACTTTCCTAGGTTTAGATAATAGCAGTAACCGCTGCTTAGGTCAGTTTAGAAAATTACATCGCCCGGATAACATCAAATTATTAATAATTTTTTTGAAATGAAATTCGGAATAAATTTTCCTTACCTTCTTACATATTTTCTATTGAGTTCAAATGCTCTAACCGAAGCTGTGAAAATCCTTGCCCTGTTTCCATTTCCGGGTCCTTCACAATATATTTTGGTGCAGCCGTATTTGAAAATGTTGGCCTCCAGGGGGTATGAGGTGACATCGGTCAATGCATTTCCACAGAAACAGAAAGTGGAGAATTTTCGGGATATAACTGTAATGGAGGTGCATGATAACTATGCAGGTGAGAGAGCAGAGAGAGAGAGAGAGGCAAAGAGAGGAAGAAAGGAAGTTAATAATTATTTTTATTTTCAGACGTCATATCTGGCGCCCAAGTGGAACGCAACAAATGGGGTGAAATGACATTTCTGTCGGAATTTTTTATGAACATCACCGAAACGGTTTTGAAAAATCCGAAAGTTCAAAATCTGCTCAAAAATGAACATTTCGATTTGGTGATAATGGAAACGTTGCACACAGATGCCTGGTATAGCCTGGGTAGGCATTTTGGAGCGCCCATGATTGGCATATCTTCTTTCGGAACTGATCCCATAATTGATGAGCTAATGGGTAATATGTCACCATTCTCCTATACCCCCCTGGTGACAATTGGCTATACGGAACACATGTCGTACACTGAAAGACTGTGGAATACAATTTATCAATTAATGGAACTGCTGCATGTCCGTTGGGTTACCATACCTCTTCAGCGGCAATTAATGGCAAAATACATGCCCCACATCCAGGAAGATGTGTGGGAGTTGAGAACCAATTTTTCGCTGATGTTGTTGAATCAACATTTCTCCCTTAGCTATCCCCGGCCTTATGTGCCCAGTATGGTGGAGGTGGGTGGATTTCAGCTGCACTACAAACCCAACCCATTGCCACAGGATATACAAGAATTTTTGAATTCCTCCCAAGAGGATGTAATCTATTTCTCCATGGGTTCAAATGTCAAATCCAAAGATTTCCCACCCGAACGCCTGCAAATGATAAATGATATCTTCCGCAAACTGCCCTATAAAATTTTGTGGAAATTTGAAAATACCCATCTGCCAGGAAAACCTGCTAATGTGTTCATCAAACCCTGGTTTCCACAACCTGATGTGCTAGCCCATGCTCGAGTAAAGTTATTCATATCTCACGGCGGCCTCCTCAGTACCTCGGAGTCAGTGTATCATGGCAAACCCATGTTGGGCTTGCCGGTTTTCTATGATCAAACCATGAATATCAATAAAGCTAAACGGGCCGGCTTTGCTTTGTCAGTGGATTTTTATACACTTCCCAAGGAGGAATTCGAAAACACTATTTTGGAAATGATGAGAAATGCCAAATATTTTAAGAAAGCCAAAGAAATTTCCAGAATTTATCATGATCAACCTGTAAAGCCTTTGGACTTGGCTGTATTTTGGACGGAATATGTTCTGCGCCATCGGGGAGCACCACATTTACAGTCTCCCGCCCAAAAAATGAATTTCTTCAAGAAGCACAGCATTGACACGGTGGGTGTTTTAATTGCAGCTGTTGTGCTCAGTGGAATCTCTGTGGTTTTTATAATTTTAAGTGTTTTCAGATTTGTGTTTTCCAAGAAAACAGAAAAGCAAAAAAATAAATTAAATTAATAAATAAATATTTTTTTTACAACAAAAATCCGGAATTGTTTAGAAGGACTTTATTGTAGAAGGAATTCTATTTGATAAATGATACATCTCACTTTGCAAGACTTAAAAATTGGCTTCTATTAACAGAAGGATGTATGAAGCCATGCGGAAGGACTGTAGAAACACTTCTGTAGGTATTTTGAAAGGATAATTTATAATCGTCAAGGCAACTTATGAAGGCCCTTCGTCAACTGACAAACATTTGAGTTTTTCTACTCTCCACCATACATAGTATGGAGGTTATATTAAATTAGTCAATCCGTTTGTAACTCATCGAAATAATAATTTTAAACATGACAAAGTATATATAATCTTGATCAGCGTAAAATTCTGCAAGCAGGTCAAGTTCGGAGATGGGCTATATTCCGCACAACGGTACCCCCGATATTCGGTATTTTGATGATTTCAGCCACATTTTCTAATGGAATTGTCTGAATTTCACACAAGGAGTTCTTTCTGAGTACTTACCCTCTGAAAGAGAATTGCTTATATAGGTCCACGATATCGTATAGCTCTCATACAACGGTACCCCCAGATATTCGGTATTTTGATGATTTTAGAAACATTTTTCAATGAGATTGTCTAAAAATAAACACAAGGAGTTCCTTTTGAGTACTTTAACCCCTGGAAGAGAACTGTTAAAAAGAGCTTTGGCGAATCTTATTTATTTAGAAGAGTTGTCTATGAAAGGTGTTCTCTACTGGGCGAGATAAAAAAACTGCAATAAAGTCAAACGCCATAATTTTTAATTTTTTTTTTATTTTATTGAATGAAAGCAAAAAATGTCGGAAACATCATCAAATTTTAGAATAAGCTTAGATTTGTTCGAATTGGTCACCTTTGGAAGGGAAACGGCCAATGAAACCTTCACACGCTGTCCGAATGCTGCTCGGCGGTATTCTGGCCCATTCCCGGCGAAGCGCTTGCTTGAGGTGATTGGAACATTGGTGTTTTTCAGTCCCAACCTTGCTTTCCAAAATACTCCAGAGATTTTGGTGACAATTGTGCGCTGGAAATGAAGCTAGGAACGTAATTTTGTCACCATTCTTGGGTGGCGTGTGCTGAATGCGATGGTGCTGAGTCCTGTTAGAATGTCCAAGGTCTGCGGCAAAATGTTTGCGTGCCCAACGCTTTAATACACCCTCCAGAATATTTTCACGATAATATTCGGCACTTATTCTGATCCCACGGGCGATTAATACGAGCGGAGAGCGACCATCGGTTGTTATGACGGCCCACAACATCACCATGGCCGGCGCTTTAGTTCTGGTGGTCAACCGAAGATGCATATTTTCAGCTGACCTGATCTCTTTGGCAAGTTAACACAATATTTTTGTTTGTTTACAAACTGTTGGACAACGAAGTTTTTTCGTCGGAGAAAACAAAATTCAGCAGTTCACCACTTTCCGCCAAGCGTAGCAACTCTTTAGCTCTTTTGAGTCTATTTTCTTTCTGTTGCGGTGTAAGTTCTTGCACTTTTTGGAATTGTAATGGCTTACCCTGAGCTCATTTTTTCAATATTTGCCGAATGGAATTTTGCGATGTGTTCAACTCACGAGCCATGTTTCGGCCACTGTGACGCGGGTTTCGATCAAGTCACCTCTTTACTTTTCGAACCATTTCTGCTGATGTTGCTGTTTTCTTCCGTCCACTTCCTTGACGTTGGGCTACGCTACCAGTATCGAGTATCGGTAACGAGCGATGGTACGAGACATAAAATATTTATTCACATTTAAATGCTGGAGTGTTCTAACGATAGCCACTTGTAGTTTTCCAGCCAAATATAAAGAAATCACACTATCACGCTTGAATTCCATCACGAATAACTTTTTTTCTGAAAACTTCTCACAAAAATGTTTTTGTACGCTTATAAACAATATTATAAGCTTTCACTGGAATAATTTTAACATATGTCGGACGAGTGGCTTAGAAATGACAGCAGTCTGAAATTGGTTGCAGTTTTTTAATCTCATCCTGTATGTAGAAAAGTTGTTGGTGTGTTTTTATATGAAATAACTTTTGAAGATCTCCTCTATATAGACGAGTCTTTTCAAGTCTATTTAGAAGAAATTTTGAAGTTCTTATCTATATAGACGACTTGTTAAAGATCTTCTCTCAATTAAAGACCCTGTTAATTTCCCGAGACCCGTAGAAGATTTTCACTTTAAAACTTTTTAAAAGTCTTTTCTCTATAAAAAGAACCTCTCTCTCTCTCTCTCTCTGAAATATGTTATTTCTATATCAAGACCTCTTGGAAGTCTCCTCCTTTTTTGTAGCAATAAATGTTGATGGTCTTCCTTCTATGGAATACAAGGCCTTTCCTCGGTCATGTTGCAGGACTCCTCTCTGTAGAGTACGTTTGGCTGTCGACTTGTTGTGGGAGACGCTTTAGATTTCTGTAAAAGGCCTACTTTATAGAAGAAGTCTTGTAGGCCCTTCACTATATAGAAGACCTGTGGAATGTCACCGTAGGGGACCTGTCGAAGGTATCTTTCTATGGGGGACCTGTTGATGATATTCTCCCCATATCAAGACCTCTTGGGGGTATTTTCTTTAAATATTTTATGTCTTCTTTTTATGGAAAATTTCTTTTCCATATTTTAGAATCTGGTCTTTTCTGATTGTCTTCTCTCTATATGAAGACATATTGAGGACTTTTCTTCTACCTTAATCCAATTGTAAATTATCTCCCTCTAGAAACACGATTGAAAAAGTGTGCTTCGTTAGTTATCTGTGGAAGACCACTTCTTCCGTCTAATAGAAGATCTGTTAAGAGTCTATTTAGATGGATTTCTTCTTATCTCTGTATAAGATCCGTTCAAGGTATTTTAAGGAAGATCCTTTAGAGGACTTTAGTATATAGGGAAGCTTTTGAAACCCCTTCTCACAGAAGACCTTTACTTTGAACATATTCTCTATATATATTGAAAATAAAAATGTAGGGTTTTTTCAATAGAATACATAAGGAAGATCTTTGTCCTGTAGAAGGTCTTTTGAAAAACTTTTTTTTTTACGCAAGACCTTTTTAAGCGCTTTCAGCAATTGTTCTGTAGAGGACAGAGAAAACCTTTCGATTGTCCCTTATCTATGGTATACCTTGCATATTTTTTCTGTCTTAAGAAGTTTTTTTTTTTAAATGTCCCGTCCAATGAATTTCTTGAAGGACTGAAGGTCTTCAGTCTATAGACGATATTTTAAGTAAAGATTGTTGGAAGATCTTCAACCATTTTCAGGTCATTCGATATATAACAAATTTTTAGCAAACTTCTCCATAAGAGTTTTTTTTAAAAAAAAACATTCAAAGGTATTTTGTCCAACGGTAAGCATTCACAAAAAATGTGCATAGGGTTGGCACTCGGAAAGTCGCCTATTTATAACAGCCTTTTTCCATAAATGAAAGTCCTATTAGGTATTTTCTTCAGATTATCTTCCGTAAGGTCGTCGGTCTATAGAATAAACCCACAAAACCTTCTGTCTACTGAAGTCCCACAATTTGTTTTCTGTTTTTATCCATAGACTACGCCTTAGTGTCTCCTCTCCAACTCACTTACAATAAATATTTATAACACTTCATTGCAATAATATTGTTCGGATTGATTTGATTTTCCTTAAACGGCTTAAATTGTTGTCAATTTTGATTACTATTTCGAAACGCAAGCCAGATGTCACGTTTTACATTTACATCGATTAAATATTGTATATCTCTGTTAGCTATCATTCGTTCTATTAGTCGACAAAGTTACACCGATTGGAAAACATCTTCGGCGATTGGATGAGAAATCCAAGATGTGTTACTCAAATAAGTTCCTCTGGGCCATAATTTTTTCGCTGACGCGTTTAATTGCTTCAATCCACTGCGTGAAAATATTGGCCATATTTGCCTTCCCAGGTCCTTCACAGTATATTTTGGTTCAGCCCTTTTTAAAGACCTTGGCCTCTAAGGGTTATGAGGTGACATGCGTTAATGCTTTTCCGCAAAAGCAGAAAGTGGAGAATTTTCGTGATATCCCTGTGACAGAGGTTTTTGAAAGTTATGCGGGTGAGTGAGGGGAGTTTTTCAAGGAGAACTTTGGAGCTCCTAGATAGACTTATATTTTTTTTTATAAATTTATAACCTTTTTTTTTTAGATTTCATAGCATCCACCCAAGTGGAGGTCAACAAATGGCAAGAGATGACTTTGTATTCGGAGTTTTTCTACAATGTCACCGAAACTGTGTTCAAAAATCCAGAATTCCAAAATTTATTGAAAAATGAAAATTTCGATTTGGTCATATTGGAAGCCTTGCACACAGATGCCTGGTATAGCTTGGGGAGACATTTTGGTGCTCCTCTAATTGGCGTGTCTTCCTTTGGCACTGATCCTGTAATTGATGAACTAATGGGTAACATGTCACCATTTTCCTATACCCCCCTGGTGACAATTGGCTATACGGATCGCATGTCCTATAAGGAAAGGATGTGGAATACAATTTACCAATTACTGGAACTGCTGCATGTGCGGTGGGTGGGTCTGCCACGCCATAGGAAACTGATGGCAAAATATATGCCTCACATCAAGGAAGATTTGTGGGAGTTGAGGACGAATTTTTCGCTGATGTTTTTGAATCAACATTTCTCGCTCAGCTATCCTCGGCCATATGTGCCCAGCATGGTGGAGGTGGGAGGGTTTCAAATACACTACCAACCCAGCCCTTTGCCGGAAGATGTTCTAGAATTCATCAACTCCTCTCAAGAGGATGTAATCTATTTCTCCATGGGTTCTAATGTGAAATCCAAAGATTTTCCCCTGGAACGCATAAAAATAATAATAGAGGTATTTCGTAAGCTGCCCTACAAAATTCTATGGAAATTTGAAAACCCCCAACTGCCCGTTGAGAAGCCACCAAATGTTTTCATCAGACCCTGGTTTCCACAACCCGATATTTTGGCCCATCCCCGTGTGAAGTTATTTATATCCCATGGCGGCCTGCTAAGTACCACCGAGGCCATATATCATGGCAAACCCATATTGGGTCTACCCGTATTCTATGATCAGGCAATGAATGTCAGAAAAGCCAAACAATTGGGCATCGCCTTGGGTATTAATTTTTACACTTTGCCTCGAGAGGAATTTGAGGGAGGAATTGTGGAAATTATGACAAATCCAGTGTATCGAGAGAGGATTATGGAAATTTCCCGAATTTATCATGATCAACCCATGAAACCCATGGATGTGGCCATATATTGGACAGAGTATGTCTTGCGGCACCGGGGAGCAGCACATTTGCAGACTCCAGCTCAGAAAATGAGTTTTATTCAGAAGCACAGCATCGATACGGTGGGTGTTTTGATAGCAGTTGTTGTTCTTTTGCTTGTCGCTGTTGATGTGGTAATTGGCAGGATTTTTAAGAGCCTGTTTTCAAAGAAAATGGAGAAAGAGAAAATTAATTGAAAAAATTATTTTTAGGTGTTTTTAAAAAATTAAATTTTTTTAAAAATTTTTAAAAATTTTATTTTTTTTTAAAAACAGAAAAAATATAAAAAATATTCGACTTCTTTAAAAAAAAATAAATAAATAAAATAAAATAAAAAAAACAAATAAAATTTAAACCGAATCAAACTTAGACCTTATTGAGTCTTTTAAAATGTAAATGAACCAGTGAAACCTCCCAACAGCGATGGTCGACCGAAATGTGTCCATTGTCAGGAGGTTTACGACTGTGGTAGGTTAAAGAAATTTTCAAAGTTTTTTTTTTATTTGTTAATTTAAGAAAATATAGGAAAAAGAGATCGGCGGATACCTCCTTACAATGGACAAATTTCGGTCGATCCTCGATGTTTACTGTTGGAAGGTTGTACTGCAGATCCAAAAATGATTGAAAGATTTTGGAAGGGGGAAATAACAACATCGATCAATGAATTATAATTAGATCTTCAACACCTATGAAAAGAGATGGAGTAACTAGGGCAGGATTTTAGACAGGTTGTATTTTAAATATAAGAAAAATTCTAAAAGGTTTACAATATAAAATAGACTTAAAATACGCTAGAATTTCCTTAAAAATTATCTCTTGAAGATCCTTGGCAAACTATGTTTCAAAATTCCATTTATAATCCTTGAAAAAATTGTGGCTACAAATCCTTAAATGCACTTTTGAAGGTCCTTTAAAAATTATATTTAAATTACAGATGTTTGCCATTGAAGATCGTTGAAAAATAGTTTTGGAAATTCCCGTGTAAGCTTCTGAAAGTCCTTTAGAAAAGTCTTAAAAATCTTACATTTCTTGTCCATGAAGTTCCCCAGGAAATAGTCTTCAACCATTTACGATTACGGATCTATTTGTCCTAAATGTCCTTGAAAAAAAAAAAAACATTAAAATACCCGAGTATACATCTTAAAGGCCTGTAAAAAGTGTTCGAAGATTCCTGAGAATAGTCATTAATAGACATGGGTAATTCGGTGAATGTCCTTGAAAACCTAGCCATTAAAATTCAGCGAACATTTCCTCGAATGTTCTTCAGAAAATAAGTCTTTAAGAATATACCAATATGAAATGAAATGGTCTTTAAAAATCCACAATTATGTGCCTGAGTGTCCTTGGAAAAATAGTTCATTAAAGTTGCTTAAAAATACCATACCTGAAGGTCCTTCGAAAACAGTTTATAAAGGTTCCTTAGAAACATTATCTCTAAAATCCACAAGTATGCTCAGTTAGGGCCTTAAATTAGTCTACAACAGTTCTAGAGTATGTCCCTGAAAGTCCTTGAAAAATAGTCTCCAAAATTCACAAGTCCTTAGGAAAATTGTTCATAAAAGTTCGTGAGAATGTCATTAAAGTCCTTCGAATAATAGTCTATAAAATATATTAAAATCCATGAGCATGTTGAAAAAAATAGACCATCAAAGTTCAAGAAATTCCTTGGAAAAATAGTTATTAAAAAATCCACAAGTATGTTCCTGAAGGTCCTTGAAATTTGTTTCAAAAGTCCATGAGAATACCTTTGAATGTCTTCTGAAAAATAACCTTGAAGAATTGAGTATATCCATAAGGATAATTGAAATTAATTTTTTTAAATCCACAGATATGATAGGAGAATATATGAAACTATTATTTTTTGAATCCAAAATTATTCTTCAAAAAAAGTTATATTCTATTAAAAACACATCCGTTATCCTTGGAAAATAGTTTATAAACATTTCACAAGAAAGTCCCAGTCTATAAAATTCTTGAAAATATTGTCATTTAAAATAGGAGAGTATGCTCGTGAAAGCTCTTGGGAATAAATCCATAAAAATTCATAATTATGTCTGTAAAAATTCTTGGAAAAATAGTTTTTAAAAAAGCCACGAGTATGTCCCTGAGGATCCCGGAATAATAGTCTCAAAAGCCCATACCTTTGAGAGTCCTTGGAAAAATACCTTAAGATTTGGGTAAGCCCATTTAGGTCCTTGAAAATTAGTTTTAACAAATCCTTTGATATTATTGGAAAATTTCTAAAACTATTTTTTAAAAATAAAAAATGTTTAAAAATTATTTTTTAAAAAATCATCGTTATCCTTAAAAAAACAGTTTTTAAAAATTAACTAATTACCTAAAGTGCCTTGGAAATATAGTTTATAAAATTAACCCTTAAAAGTATAGCCCTTAAATGATTGAAAAAAAAAAATACTTCAAAAAAGTATGTCCCTGAAAGCACTTGAAAAATATTCTTTAAACATCCAAGAGTAAGTCCCTGAGTGTCTCAGACTAATGATCTTAAAGGTTCAAAAGCATTCCTTTGAAAGTCCTTGAAAAATAAACTTAAAAACCATTAAGGTTCTTGAATATTAATTTGTATAAACCCATCGATATGAGAGAAAAATATTTGTGAAAAAGCATGGTTATGAAAAAATATTCGTTAAACTTAGTCCTGCCGAAAATATCCATTAATTATCAACGATTATCCTTGAAAAAGAGTTTTTTTTTTAAATCTACTTATTTTCAAAATAACATATTTTCCTCAAAATAATATTGTCAACCTTGAAAAATATAACCCTTAAAAATTCTGGATTATCCACGAAAATTATATATTTTTTTTAATCCACGATTATCCTTGAAATCCTAGAAAAAATATGTTTTTAAATATTCTCTATGAAATCCATGACTATCCTTGAACAAATAATACTAAAAAATTCTACTCTATTATCTTTGAATAATATTCCTGGAAAAATCCAGTGTTATTCTTGGAATTTTAACTTAATTCATGAAGTTTGTACTTTTCTAGCTCGAAAAGTGAAAAATTTTAGGAAAAATTAATGTTTTTAGTATTTTCTAGCGATAAGTTCACTTTAAGATGTTAGGCCTTTTTAAATTTTCCGGCCAAAAATATTTCAACGTCTTCATATATTAACCGAAGAAACCAACAGTGATCTCAATATCAGCTTTGCTCCTTCACGCAATATCCAATTTAAAATCATTTAGTACTTTTCGTACAAATATATGATACATTTCCAAGCCTCCGGCAAATCTTAGCCTAATATACCAAGTGATTTGAGTATGAAATTTGAGCATTTTATCTCCATCCCTACATACAATACAAAACATAGTACCAGTTCCCACTTTTCGTACAATTATAGTACACATTTCCGAAACCACCTCCATAAGTCCAGGCCACACATTAACAGCGATCCCAATACCAAATTTTAGATTTCATGCACTATTGGTTCACCCAATACCAAATTGTACCAAATCAAGTACCATTTAGTACTTTTCGTACCCTTATAATAAGACATTAAAAAATTATATATGACACAAATCAGAAGCAATCCTAATCCACATTTTTTAAGATAATAACTTGTATAATTTGTTGTTTTTTTTTGTTTAATTTTTTTCTTAGGTGATCGTATTTTTGTTGTCTTTGTTGAAAATTGTAAAATGTTTACAAAGTTAGTGCCAGTCAAACACCCAGATGACAGTCGACATTAATTGGTCCCCACCACATGATTTGTTGTTATCATGCAATCTTACGTGATTATTTGTTGTAGATAATAAGAATTTGTATTTTGTTGTTGTTATTGTTATAACAAGTAGAATACAAATGGACGGGCTTCCATTGAATGGGAAAAGTGAACAAGTCGCCTTTGGAAAATTTTGAAATAAAATGAAAAAACTAATTTTTTGAAAAGTGAAATACATTGCTCTCTGTAAAAAGAGTAACAGAAGTAAAGCCAATGGGGGAATACTCCAGACTTAAGCAAACAAGTAAAAAAGCTATAAGTTCAGCCGGGTCGAACTTTGAATACCCTCCACCATTTTGAACGAATTTGGCAATTCTCAAAAACAATAAAATCCTTTAAAAATTCTGTTAAAATACCGAATTTAGCTGTTATTTTAGAGTCTATACGACGACATGGACCTGTACAGGTATCTTTTGTCATAAGCCATCACAATATTCAAATGCGAAACTTAAAAAAGGTGAATAATTTAGCTAAAATCATTAAAATATTGAATATTTGGGGGCCATACGAAGACGTAGACCTGAACAGACAATTTTCTGTTTTCTGGCTGTAGTATCTATTGCGAACTTCAAATACCAAATTTAAAAGATTTACGGCGAACAATGTCGCTAAAATCATCAAAATACCGAATATCGGTAGGTACCGTTATATGGGGGCTATGCGAAGACGTGGACCTGCACAGACAATTTTACGTCACAGGCTGTAGTATCCATTACGAACTTCAAATACCAAAGTTGAAACAATTCCGGTGAATAATGTCGCTAAAATCATCAAAATACCGAATATCGGGAGGTACAATTATATGGGGGCAATACGAATACGTGGACCTTCATGGCCCATTTTCTGTCATAGGCTGTAGTATCCGTTGCGAACTTCAAATACCAAATTTGAAACAATTCCGGTGAATATCGGTAGGTACCGTTATATGGGGGCTATGCGAAGACGTGGACCTGCACAGACAATTTTACGTCACAGGCTGTAGTATCCATTACGAACTTCAAATACCAAAGTTGAAACAATTCCGGTGAATAATGTCGCTAAAATCATTAAAATACCGAATATCGGGAGGTACCGGGAGGTATATGGGGGCTATACGAAGACGTGGACCTGCACAGAAAATTTTCTGTCTTAGGCTGTAGTATTCATTGCGAACTTCAAATACCAAGTTTAAAACAATTCCCGAATATCGGGAGGTACCGGGAGATATATGGGGGTTATACGAAGACGTGGACCTGCACAGACAATTTTCTGTCTTAGGCTGTAGTATCCATTTCGAACTTCAAATACCAAATTTGAAACAATTCCGGTGAATAATGTCGCGCAAATCATCAAAATGCCGAATATCGGGAGGTACCGTTATATGGGGGCTATACCAAAACGTGGACCTACATGGTCCATTTTCAATACCAAAAGTCTTGCAGACATAATATACATTTGAGTAAAATTTTATCAATCTGCTTTAATTCGTTTGGAAGCTAGACTGACGGACATCGC